AGTTTGCACTGAATAATCACTGGGAAACGGTAACACAGGTGACAGGAATAGAAACAGAAAACCCTTTGTGGTATCTTCTGAATCTCGCAAATAAGAAGTAGTCCTGTCGGAGAGGAAGAGCACACTCCCTGTGAGACCATGCAGGCAGGATTACGCACCACATCAGCGGCACTCCATTCTCAGGCTTTAGGAGAGAACTTAAACAAGCCTTTTAAAAAGTAAAATCAATTGGATGTGTGACTCGTTATTCACACACAACTAAAATACAGCCTCGGGTGCATAGCCAAGCCAGGTGCATGGACCCAAACACACACACACACACAGCACCCCTGAGATACAGTATTTTTGGGCATATGCACACCTTGATACACACACACACACATGGCCTTTGTGTTTGCAGGAGCCCAGCTTGTTACATCATCGAGAGGGGAGTTTATCAGCGACTGATCAGCAGCAGCCTGAAGACTCTCAAAGGCTGTTTTGTCTTCGTCCTGCCTGAAACTCCCTGAACCCACAGGTTACCTTGCAGCCGTGGGTATTTGTTTACCGCGGCCTGAATTTGCAAGTCTTTATCGCGGATGACCTGCCGTCACTGAGGGGAAGTGCTGTGCTTTGATTTGTCTATTCATTCAGGACATATAACTATTAAAATGACTTTATTATCCGGTACTGGTTGTGATCTTATTATTTCATTATTTTTGTTAACATAGGGTGTAGAAGTTCCCCAAGTCCCATTAATCTAGCATTTTCTGCTTCATTTGATAGTGAGAGAGACAGACAGGGAATGCAGGGGAGAGAGAGGGGATGACGTGTAACAAAGGGCCCTGAGCCGGACTCGAACCCCGGTCCCTGCTGTGGTAAGAACTTTGCCTTAAAGGAGAAATACACCCACTTTCAAAATTCATACGTCTTTCCTATGGTCTCAGACAGTCCAAAAATATTAGTGAAACACAAAAAACTTCTCTCCCAAATCCCAAAACTAGAGTGCTAAAACTCAAATTTGTGGTGTCATCAAGTATATAAGTGTGGACCTGCTCCATAGACAAATAACTGTGAGAGATGTTATAGATGACACTGAGCACCCAGGAGAGTGTATTTTGAGTATATGGGTACATTTTCTCTTTTACCACTAAGAAAACAAAATCTGTCTTATTCATTGTCAATGCAGCAGCTACAAAACTTCATAACTGATGACATCTCAAGTTTGCTTCTCTGGTGTCTGGCTTTGAGAGAGAGAGAGTAGCTCATGCTCACTAATATTGATTAAACTTTCCTAGGTCGTGGAAACAACATATTAGATTTCATAATTTAGGTAGTTCTCCCCTTTAATAGTTTGTGCTTTATGTGGGCGCCCCAAATTCTTACGTCTTTCTTTTTTTTACCACGTGAATGACTCAATCTGCTGAACCTACCTTATCAATTATAACTAACAGGTAAAAAAACCATAACCCAAACAGTGAAAGGAAGGAAGTATATTTCCCCCTCTTGAGTCCACATGAGGACTAGAAACTAGATTTTCAGCTTCACAGAAGTGTTTTTGTGATATTCCAAAACAAATGAATTACTTACTGTTGTGCCGAAGTGGCCTCACTGCAGTCACATGTCTTTGTTCTTTTTGTGGATCACAAGCAAAAATATTAGCACATTTATTTTGTTACTAAGAAACATTATGCTGACCCTGCATTTTTTATTTAATTTTAGTTCATGTTGTACAAGTTCAAATAAAATTATTTATTGCACAGCAGACAGATAATTCTTTTCATCCAGATGGTCAGAAAAGTCTTTGAGGAATTTGGAAATACCTTAAAAAGAAAACAGAGGTAAGCGTTCTCGGGCGACCTTGTGGGTTTTTACAAAGCTCTCTGATGATTTATTTTTCTCAAAATGTAATAGCTCTGTACTCTGTAGCTCTGGGACTCCGATGTAATTGTAGCACACGAGCGGCACAAACTGGGGCAATAAAATAGTAAGAATCAAGTTAAGTCATCTTGCTGGATTTCAACTTTACACAATGGCACTGGGTTTTAAATCAAATATAACTAATTATCTCTTTGGACAGAGTGTTTGCTTTTCCCTGTATGTAAGAATTTCTTCCTCTACTCATGGGGCAATTTCCTGCACAAGGCCATGCTACAGTGTAAGGATACTCTTCTCTAATTCAAACACACTGTTTCATTCATTTAAAAAGCACTGTATTTTATGTAACAATCTTGCTTTGCCCAGGTTTTATACTGTTTCACAGCTGGCGAGGCTCTCTCACCTTCTCATATCTCAGACCTGCTGCAGTCTTGTGAAGGAGAAGCCTGCGGGATTGAAGAGGGGAATTTTTTTCGGGGGTGGAAATATTAGAAGTGTACACAAGGAAGGATGAAGAGAAGCTCCCTGGAACGACTCCCAGTCGTCACCGCTGTCATGCAGAGACCACACAGCTCCAAAATGTTCCAAAGCAGTCGGGATACACTGGGGATGAATCGGGGGGGGGGTATATGTTGCCTTCGATGGTGCAGCAGTTAACGCCTGCAGCCTGTGTCTCAGATCCAGAGAAATGCGTAATGACGTGAACAACCCACAACACATTAGCGAGACACAAGCATTTATCAAGAGAACATCTCTATTCAGATTGCACCATCTTTCAAGAGTCATTTAGCAACTATACGCTAATTCCATTAGAGTTGGAGGCAATTAAAGGAGACACATCGTGCTCATTACCAGGTTCATATTTGTATTTTGGGTTTCTACTGTAACACATTTACATGCTTTAATGTTCAAAAAACGGAATATTTTTGCTCGTACTGTCTGCCTGAATATACCTGTATTCACCTTCTGTCTTAAACTCTCCGTTTTTGCGCCTGTCTCTTTAAGCCCACCTCCCGAAAAAAGCCCAGCCTGCTCCGATTGATTGCCGTCCTCACAGAGTCACTGCAGTCGGGGGACTCACCGTGTGTGTGTGTCAACTACACTGAGTTTAGTGACACTTCTACCGTCGACTGGATAGTTGTGACATCACAACGTTACAGGAGTTCTGGTGGCTTAATTTAAAGGCACAGTTTAAAAAAAAATATGCACTCTGTGTTTCTCCGTGGATTGCGCGTTTTGATACTGTAACAGTATTTATATAGCACCTAGACCTGCTTTATCATTTAAAAAAAGACTCTCTTTCTACAATATGGGACCTTTAAGAGCAAAGTACCCCAGGCATCAACAACACGATTGTCAACAGTGAGGCAGTGGTGGTAAGGTGTGTGTCTTTTCCATCAGAGTGCAGAGTTAAGGCTCGTGTATAAAGAAACTCAAGAGAAAACGCAAGGCTGCTACCTGTTATGGGGTGGAAACAGCCATAGACAGAGAATTCCCGGTTCATATTTTCCTATAGAGACTGCTTGACATTGGATTAAGCAGGACAAGTAAGATGGGAGCAGCCCTCTGGAACCGCATTCATCACCAGCGTATTCCGACGACGAGCGCTGGCCAACCGCAGGATCCTGGCCTGTGTCCTAGCCAGCCCCGGCTAATTAGTCCCCCCTCTTCGGAGCTAATTGGCCGATAAAAAATGAGGATGGCCTCTTCACTCAGCCGGAGTGTTTTGCCACCAAATGGCAGTGGGGAGGATTATGCGGGTTTATGAGGCATGGTGACACTCAGCGAGAAACGCTCCTCTGCTATTAATTCGCTTGTCAAGGGGGTCGACTCCGCTGCGTCACTTTGCTTCTTCTTCTTTTTATTTTTTTGTGAACACAAGAAAACTTTTGTCTGGCATTGACTTCCGACAAGTTGTTCCCATGGAGCGCCTTCACGTCTAAAATCTTTTACTGTGCTAGTTTATGAGTCAAATTACCAATGACGTCATTCTTTTCCACAGAGTCCTGTAGGCGATGTGAGCGTTACAGCATGTTACAGGCAAATTGCACAGGGCTAATCTTACTTTTGTGGCTTCTGAATGTTGTTGTTTTTTTTTTTTGCATCGTCGTCTGGACTGTGGGCCAGAGATTCTGGATTCCCATGAAAACAATCTACCTGATTGCAAATATGTTAACAAAAGTAGCCCTTGCAATTCTCTCCGTCCCCATTTCCTGTCTGTCTCTACAGCTGTCCAAATAAAGGCAATGCATGCAATTGTTGACATTGTTGTCAAGGTTTCTTAATGTGGGACTCTGACACAAACAAATAAATAAGTAATATGGTATGCTAATGTGCTGTGTGCTGAATACAAAAATTAATGAACTTATAATCATATAGCTGTTAGTGACAGGAAGAGAGCAAGAAAGAAAGACACAAAATGGAATATGAAACTATTCACGAATACAAAAATAAATGATAAGTGTACAATATAATGTGCAACCCACAGTATGTGTTAAATACGAATATGAATTGTTCATGAACAATGTGCCTTTAGTGGGTTATTAGAAGGAAGGGCATACAAAATGATTACAAATGTATACATGTGTATGCCTACTCTCAAATGTCCACATTATGGTGCCGAATATAAAAAATAGTCAGCTTGTCCTGTGCCGCGGATTTTATCTTTACTCTTTATCGGAATATTTATGGCTGCAAGTATCAAAACTGGACACATAAAGGTTAAAGGGATAGTGAATATCAGTTCCAGAAACAGTCAAGTCAAGACAGTTTATAGAGCATGCTGTAGCCTATAAGAAAGATTAGAAAATAATGTAAATAGCACAGAGATAAAGAAGCACATATGTGTAATACACAAGTAAAAGCTACCATACCCATAAATTATGAGCGTAAAGCAAAGTAATAGTTTCTGACTTGATACAACTAGAATGTGTGCAGACATGTGACTGAATATCATCTCAATATAACCTCTCAGTGGAAATCTTTGTTACTGAGGTGTGCTTTGCTCTCTGGCACATCTGCAACCGACTTCCATAGGCTCACAATTAGATAATTTGCACATGCGGAAGACCCCGGTTATGAATGGGTGCATTCCCCGAAGGTCCCGCCTCTTCCGTTCCCACAGACGGACCAATCAGCGGCGCCTGTGGGCATCGATGGGACGGCACCGTCAGCTGCCGTCGTGTCGGGATTGGAATGTTACGGACTAACAATCGGGACGACTGAGCACTCGGTAATTGGACACTAGAATCCAGGAATCCCGTCTTTTTTTTGAACATTTTTCTCAGCTACCCGCCCGGTGTGTGGTTAGCCTTCGTTTGCCTCGTGTCACCCGGATAACTTCGCGTGCGGCGCGGCTCCCCGCCGATGTGTTTTTCATGTTATATCGGCGCGTGCGAGGGCAGTGTGTGTGGAGGCTGTGATAAATAAGGAGAGACATGCAGGGATTCGTCAGGTTACAGTTGTACCGCTGAGCTGCTGCTGCGCTACGTCGCTTCTTCCCCCCGGTGTTTTATGTTGTGTTGCTTCTCTTCAAACGGGACCATGGAGCGATAAAAGAGGGGGAATAGGACTAATTCAACCGGAGGCATTTTGGATTCGAGCGCGGCGGCACCACACCGACGGGTCTTTACGCCCCCTGGGCAAATGTGTTTGCGAGTTTAACATCCAAACCGGGGTATACCTTTCCGTCTGGGAGAGCCTCGGGGACCCTTGCCGCTGCTCGCCCGGGGAACACAGAGCGCGCGCGCGAGAGAGAGAGAGAGAGAGTTACCAGACGGCTGCCGGACAGTTTCCCATTTGAATAGCCCCGTGCAGGCAGCCTGAATGACGGCGAGGAGAAGCGCCGGGGAAGAGAGTCGCCGCCGCGCGTGATTGTGTCCGAGCGGGTCCGGGGAAGCACGGAGCTTTTACCGTAGGCGCGCGTGCGATATGGTGAAACTCTACAGAAGAGGGAGAACGGGGCAATACTTTTAACAACAAAAGAAAATCGCCCACATGCACTGGATCAATTGCTGGATTTGGGAACCGAATACGCAGAAGGGGGGTTGGGGATCCGTGGAGGCTGCCGGGGGATGGAGCGGTGCAGCCGGGGTTGGTGAGAGCCTAACTTCGGGCCACTTTACATTTTTTATTCCTAAACGACTCGCCCCTGTTGCCAGGACACATGCAGGCCAAAAAACGCTACCTGATCCTGCTCTCCGCCGGTGCGTGTCTGGCGCTTCTCTTCTGCCTCGGAGGGGTTCAACTTCCAGCGGCGAGCAGGAGCCGGCATGACCGCAGCCGAAACGGGTACCGGCCCGACCAGCCCTGGCCTCACTTCTCGGACCCGTTACACCTTTTCCTGCCCTGGGATCAGACGGACACCGAGGAGTACAACCTGCACATATCTCCGAGGCAGAAGAGGGACGTCAACACGAGTGTTTACAAAGGCAAGCGGTGCCGCATGGACTCCTGCTTTGATTTCTCCCCGTGTCAGAAGAACGGATTCAAAGTTTACGTTTACCCGCTGCAGAAGGGGGAGAAGATCTCCGAGAGCTATCAGAATATTTTATCGGCCATCGAGGGCTCCGGGTTTTACACCTCGGACCCCGGGCAAGCGTGTCTGTTCATCCTGAGTCTGGACACTCTGGACCGGGACCAGCTGTCCCCACAATACGTCCACAACCTAAAGACCAAGGTCCAGAACCTGCCTCTGTGGAACGACGGCAGGAACCACCTCATATTTAACCTGTACTCCGGGACGTGGCCGGACTACACGGAAGACCTGGGCTTCGACATCGGCCAGGCCATGTTGGCCAAGGCCAGCATTAGCACCGAGAACTTCCGGCCCAGCTTCGACGTGTCCATCCCGCTCTTCTCCAAGGAGCACCCGAGGACCGGCGGGGAGCGGGGCTTCCTCAAGTACAACTCGATCCCGCCTTTCAGAAAGTACATGCTGGTGTTCAAGGGGAAGCGCTACCTAACGGGCATCGGCTCGGACACCAGGAATGCCCTGCACCACGTGCACAACGCGGAGGACGTGGTGCTGCTCACCACCTGCAAGCACGGCAAGGACTGGCAGAAGCACAAGGACGCGCGCTGCGACAAGGACAACGCGGAGTATGACAAGTAAGTTGTGGCTAGTGTGTGTGTGTGTGTGTGGCTGAGGGTAAAAAAAAAGTTGTTTCCTTTGATGCTTTCAAACTTTTGGGCACATGATCCAGGTGTTTGGAGCTGTCACTCTCCCCCCGCCAAAAAAACCCAGAGCTTTAAGGTTTCTCACGTGTGTGTGTGTGTGTGTGTGTGTGTGTGTGTGTGTGTGTGGAGCCATTTCAATTCTCATGTCTTTCCCAAACTGAGATATAGGATTGAAGCACTTCCTCCAAATATAGATCTTTTTTTTATAAAAATCTAGTCATATATCGCAGTGTTAACCCATTAGCTATCAGTGAATGTGAGCCCTGTAAAGACCCCCAACTGCAGCTCATATAGTTAACCAAGCCTTTTATGCCCCCCCTCCCCTCTTCACATGACTGGGTTTTACCCTCTGCGCTCCCTTTCAAGCATGAAGTGAAAAGCTCTCCAGCCAGTCTATTAGCTCCCTGGACACCCTCTCCTCCCTCCTTTCCTATGAAGGAATTCACCCTCCCCTCCCCTCCACCACCTTCCACCTCCACTCCATGGGAATACTGCAGCCTTCACCAGGATATGCAGGGACACGTCTGATTTTGCAGCCCTGCGCTCGGTGCAAACTAAGGGAAAGTCGACGGTGGGAGTTCTCGCACTGGAAATGGTCAGAACCGCCGCTCCGGTGTACCGTGTCGCTACTACCGCCGCGTCCTCGGCAAACCGAGGAGGCGCACGCGGGTTGGAGTTTATGCGCGCGGTGTCGTGTGACAAGTTTGGTTGAAAGATGAAGCGATTTAGTGCGAATAAATCAGCCGTAATAGGTTAATTATCACCTTCATTTCTGAGAGTTAGTGCCATCCTTCCCACTTAGCCCCCGGGGCTAGTTGATTACCTCTAATTTTGGAGGTCTACCGTTATGTCAAGGTGGTAATTAATGACCCCCCCTAGCAGCTGCATGTTTCAGTATAGAAGGCGTTTGGTTTACATAGCCGGCTTACGTGGCTAACTCCGCTGTCGGGTTCACTTCTATGTGAGTGACAGCGGTTTGATCTGTATTTATCAGCCTGTCCCGTGGATCCCGGGCCTTTCCGTGAAGCCTGGATGGACTCGGGCTTGTGTAAACAGCACTTGTCGACATTGTTCCTACTTGTGGTTGTGTTTGTTTCCATGTATACACGCACACACAGCATTTCAAGGTGAAGGGGAAGGATAGATGGGGAGTATACGGAAAGTTAAACTACACATATTTCCATGTGTGTGTGTG